CAGGATCTCGGGTCCAACTACCTATTTACAGCCTTTGGAGTCGAAACCCTTAGCCCGTGGGGTCCCAGTGCCCTTCAACTGTGCACAATTTTATCGAAAAATCTAATAGACTGTCTGGGAAGCCCAAGGACCGGCAGCTACGTTGCCCAACGCATTAGTATAGCAAGACAAAGGGAGAACGCTGCCAGCATCTTGGGCACCATGCCGCGGAGACCCAATTTTATTCATATAATTTAAAAATCTTACTTTGACTTTCTAGTATTTAAGTTTTTATTGTCTTTTTACCTTACCTGTATATTATCTTAATTAAATCATTCTGGCCAACAAATATTTGTCCCGGCCCGGGAATCGAACCTGGGACAGGGTAGCGATGCAATCGTGCGTCTGTATCGATGCAGTCGCGCGCTTGCATCGCGTTTGCATTGTTGCTTAAAATCGCGCGTGTGTAACCGCTTTTAGTCGTGTCAACTATTTCGCGCAAAACCACGAAATTCCTGGAAAAATGCCTTATTTTACTACATGGATGTGCAAAAATGATAGTCTGTTTCATATTATCGTTACGTCTTATTTTATTTTAATAAAGTATTCCATTTTCTGCTAATCGTAATAGATTTACTGTTAAAGTAAATCTTATACCACGTTAATAATTGTTAATCGTTCGGTTTTCAACTATTGCCGTTAGATCGCACTGAATAACATTTCTATTATAATATGAAAACGCTGTAACTTCCAATGTATGTATTGAAATTTCAATGATATTTACATATATATACTGGGTAAAGTTTAAACTATATTAACAGTCCAGTAGGGCTAGCACGATAAGGCGCGAATTGAGGGAGAGCGACATAAAGCGCGAGATACTGCTATTCTAGCGCAGAAATCATGCGTTCCATGTCCATGCAAGTTGCGCCCTATTGTGCTAGTCAGACAGAATTTGTTACATATTTTTATATTAGAAAGTATGATTAACCATAATCAAGGTTTCATAGTGTTTAACATTTACATTATGTAAGTGTGACATTTGGTGACAGCCGGTTCTCATAATAATCGAGGCGCAGAGTCGAAGCATCGCGACGCGTCATGTTTTTCGCCTATAGTATATGTATCTCTATTTTCCCATTATTAAGGTACAAATTTGTTTTATGCAAATATGAATGGCCCTTCCATTGCTTTTTTTTTCTTCCGTGGTACTACTAATTCACTCATCGATTTCGCGATTGTTTTTAACACGTGTAGTAGCTGAGTGCATCTATTAGTATATTGCAACACTTTCAGGTGTGAAGTATATTTTCAGCACGTTTCATTAAGCAATGTACAGATACGAAATTGTAAACTGTGGGATTCTCAAGCAGTTAACGAAATTGGGAACAACATATTTTATACCTTGTGTTCTTTTTACTGTTTGTGTGAATAGTACGTGTTTTAATTTAAACTATTTTTATGTGTATTGTTTGTGTTTTTGTTTCGTAATTATTTATTACATGTTTGGTTAGATAGTATTTTGATTTATCTGTCTGCATTTTGTTGTTTCCTTGAGGTATTGTTTCTATAATGGGGCTGACGTCATGTTCGATAACTATCGAAACCCCTAAATAAATAAGGAATAAAACAAATTTTTTGAATGTTTAGATTATGTTTTGTTTTTATACTGTTTCGTTTCCTTTTCCTTTTTTTTTCTTTTGAGGTGCCATTGCGGCAAACAAATGAATGTATTTTTTTTCTTTCTCAACAGATTTCCTGCATATACAAGATGGTAAATATGAAAATAAGCAATATTCAAACAAAGTTTAATTACAACATTCAACCGTTGCAAATATGGAAACCGTAAAAAATTACTGTCACACTTCTTCTAACAATTTTTCTGTTCGTCACGCCGTCATTTCATCACGATAATAGAAGACAATAACAAAAGATACTTACAACACACTGAAAACCTCTATGCAGAAAATCTTGGGATATTTTTCTAAAGTATCGCCAATGAATGGATGTTGATTCATGTCGCCAATTTATTGATAATGTGAAAAGTGCATACCTGCTGAGTTTATAATAAACTGCACTTGTATTTTTAAACTGATTTGTATTGGTTTACACTCAGTCGCACGATGGTACCTAGGCAAAAACTGAATTCATATTGTACAAACCGAAACGGGATAAACACCCAACGAGTGGCCTCCAATTTTCCCTTACAGTCACCCCCGGCCTCACAACTGATTTTCTAATCACACTGATTTAAATGCATCTGAGATTTGTTTATTCTGTCCGTAGACAAGTGGTCAAACTAGATAATATCTGATTTCTGGTCATACTGATGTAAATACATCCGATATATATTTGTCTCTACCACGAGTTTACTGTGACCCCGGAAGAAAAAAAACAGTGGAAGTGCAATACAAACCAAATAGCCAAAACCCATACAAACGTAATCTCGGTGCAGAGAACTAAAAAACCGACCTCAAAAGCCATTCGTTCCCTAGTTTGCCACCCTTGGATGTGGAATATTTTCTTCAAATTAAATAGGACTCTTTCCAACAAAAATCTCTTTTTCTCAAAACGACCCCTCCTACGTAAAGTATCGTATGTTGAAATTGCCAAGTTTGCAGGGGAGCGTTTTAAAGTTCTGAATTGACTGAAAGAATGATCATCTAATAGATCATCTAACCGATATCTAGGATTTTATAATACTCTATGTGAGTAACGAGCTTTGCCGAATAAAACTGAGAAATGCTAAAGTCACGTGATACGCCCATTTCAGTGAATTCAGAACTTTAAAACGCTCCTCTGTAAATTTGGCAATTTCGACATACGATTCTTTACGTAGGAGGGGTCGAAGTGCCGGAGTTACCGCGTAATATACATAAAAAAAAACATACAGGCGAATTGAGGAGCTCCTTCTTTTTTTGAAGTAACAAATTTTGGATTGTTAATATAATTTAAATTTTAGCCAGTCGCTATATAGTTGAAAGTCCACTACCTTTATTGCAAGTAACGACGTTTTGTTTTTATATTGAAATTTTATTCAACAAGCTGCCATCTCGCGGCCAGTAGTTGAACTACGACGAACGATTAAAATCTAAATGAATTCGATAAACAGAAAATTAAAAATTTATTAACATAAGACTTACCGATGACATGAAATATACCTACGGGTAATGTTTATAGCGCGGCTATTATTTTAGCATTTTTCTACGAATTTAGAGAATTTCCGCGAAAGAATAGTTAGTACTCGACAGACACTAACTAACCATTTCTAATTTATTTTGTGTTCTGTCACTGCGACCGTTGTCGCTGGTAACCGCATAAATTACATCACAATTTTGTATGGCAAATTATACAGTGCTCCTAGCGGTCACAAGAAACAACATTTTATATACAAACATTTTACGCGGTCGCTGGCGATAAATGTCACTGTAATTTCTTGGTAACACTGATCACTGGTGACACTCTGTCCGCAAATATTTTTTTAGTTATTAATAAAATTAAACAACACCTGATTTCCGGTTACACTGATTTAGACACGGTTTACATCTGAACAGATCACTCTCAATGGCTGATAATAATTCTAGTAACTCATGCGTTGGATAATAATAAGCTCACCTAACAACGTTGCTTTTGCGCCATTGACGCAAGCGAGCGCGGGCGTTAGCTGTCAAAGTTTTTGACTGACTTTAAAAAAAGGAGGAGGTTATACGTTCGGCTGTATGCATGTTTTCAAATTTCTCAGTCAACTGCAAAAAAAGCTTTTTTTGTTTGAAAGGATTATACTCTCGAGGTGGTCCCTGATCCCGATGAAGCTGTTCCGGGTTCGTTTCGGCTATCACAAATTTAAAAAATATTTACCGCAAATAAAGGTCGACTTTTCACTTGACACAATACATGCATCAACAAATCACCATGACAATCAGAAAAAAAAGTTCAAAATGTACAAAGGAGTCCGTAACAGTCCAATTGTCAAAAAAAAAACTCTTTCTCTTTTTGTTTCAATGAAAAAGTTACAATTATTAATTAAATTAAACTAACGTTACTATAGTTTTTGTAACAGACGTTTTGCGACACGCAATTCGCGTCAATCTGATTATACTTAGCCTGGTCCGATGAACTTTTTAAAAATAGTATACCGCCTTATTTAAATGTTTATCAATCGCTGTGGCTTGTAAAATAATTTGTTGTCTGTCTAAACTTGAGTAGTAAAAGATTAGGGTAGCTAGGTTTTGTGTGCACCTGCGTTTCTTCTTGTTTTTGTTTAAACCTAGCTTTAAAAATATCCATACATATAAATGTTGCAAGCAAGATAATGCTATTTTTGCAATCTAGACATTTTGCTGGTCGTATTCATATGTAGTCGTTTAGAGGGGCCAGCCATTTTGAGTCTTACTAATGTGTGGTCATATTGCAATTTCGATTTTAGAACCAGTAATTCTAAGACATTCTTTATGAGTCCGACCCTGAAATACGGAAGCAGCCTTGTTTTAGGTTCTAACTGAAGCGAAATTTTTAATCTCGAACGATCTGAAAAGGGAGTTGTTTAGAGATAGGAATAGAATTGTATTGAGTGACCCAAATTGTTGTTCCTCGAATCGTCCCGGAAGCTCTGTGTAACTCAAAAGACATAAATCATTGGAACACTAAATTTTTAGCACTATTTGCTTGTAAAGCTTTTATGAGGTAGCTTTTAAACGAAGGGACTTAGTTACGGCCTCATTCATGCATCGAAAAGTGACCTCAATATGTTCTCTCCCTTTTTTATATGGCTTTTTATTTTCCAGTTGTAAAATTAAAAAAAAATAGTTTTCTCAAACATTTGTGGACAGTAATTGAGCAAGGTGCCAGGCCAGGCAATCGCAACTGAATAATTTCAACCTTAGAAATACCTTGTACTGGTAGTTGAGTAATAAAATAAAGTCCGGGGGCACTGAACGGAATATCCTGAACTGAAACGGAGAAATTATAGCAGGAAAGGATGTGTGACTGTACAACCGTTAATAATTTGGATTACTACGTACCGATTGTACCAGGAAACCAGGCGCAGAGAGGATTTCGTTGTAGGTCACTGCTGCTGTTGCCCACCCTGATTTCCAGGTCTTGCAGCGGTTGGTGACCTGACATGAACAAAAACACAGCGTTATCAATTCATCTGGAGTGGAGGAAGAAGATCCATTCTTGTTGCATTATACTGTAAACAAGATACAATATGCTTACGAAACTTCATTGTAATGTGTACTACAGACGTAAAAGGGTCATACGAGTGAATACTATTCACTCGACTCAAGGCAACGTCTTCGATTTTTTATATTTCAACTTATAGACGTCATTATAATATGAATAATTCAAATCTGACGAATATTTATTATATTCAGTTGGGTTAGTAATATCACATTTTAATTGTATTCCAACAAATACAGTGTGTACAGTAAGAAAATAGCAGAATAATCAGAACATATGGAAACTGCTTTAAATACCCTAGCAAATTATATAACTATAATTCTAGGTTCGGCGGACTAAAGCACGTAAGTAAAAAAAGCGCTTCATTTGTTAATAAATAATTATATATTTTCTGTGTTGTTTATAGTGTTGGAAGATGTGAAGAGAATGATAAATTTGAAAAAGACGCCTCTAGAATTAAAGTTACTTTATGAAATAACAAACGAATTTGACTTATGTGCTTTAGCCGGTAAATGTATTCATTTAAGTGAATGATGTTGGATTTTTACTTATGTGCTTTAGTTCGCCGACCCTATAATTAACACTCAGTATTATGTCGTTCGCGTCTTCTGTCAAGGGGCTATATACGGAAAGTATATAAGCGTGACGTAAATTGAAAGGTGCCACCATTGTTCAGGTGATAATCATGCTCATGATAAACAGATTCCCAAAATTTGAAATCACGAATATCCCGTTCGGGATATTTTACAAAACAGTTGGTAAGTGGAGCTTAAAAGTCGTGGATTTTCTCAGTTCAGAACTGTGTTACTGACCTATTTCAATCACTTCTGTACTCGCATTAGAAAGGTAGTACTCGAACGTTCTCGTGTAAAATAAAAATAAAATCGTTTTTAAAAAGCTTTTTTTAGAGGCATTTGGTTTCTTCCACTTAAAAGTACTAGAATGAGGAACCGTTTGCCTTAAACATTTTTGCAGGTGACGATATAAATAAATCCCGATAATGGATAATCTGGTTTTTTATTTGAGAATCCAATCTCTATTCTACTTTAGGATACCTACTGAGTTGCTGGAATTCTCTGTTTCCCGTTGACCCAGTGAAACTACCGAGTTATAAAGTGTCGCGCACAACAGACTGTCACCGTTTTGCATGAATTTGCGCAAGCTTCAACCATCCACGACCGAGCTACCTGCATTCTAATGCTCGTATGTGTAAGAGACCTGTAATGCCTGGGTAGACCGTACTTGTTGTAAAGTAGGTCGAGACCTGTTCCATGCAATTAGGAAAAAATGTTGTAAAGCTCCGAGCAATGATAGTGCCAGTGGTCTGTGGTAGTGCTTGAGAAAGAGTTTTTCTTTGTATTTAGTGATAGCGGTTTCGAAGTACTACGAGGATGTGATTGACATGAACTCTGTGATTAAATTCTAGTATTTTGTCAAGCACTACTCACTGATAAAAAAAATGGCGACTTGACTTACCGCAGCAACCTCTAGTGGTGACCCTGACAACCTTGACAGCATAATGGCGGAGTAAATCCACCTGCCACCAAGGAGACGCTTCCCTTTGCGTTTCGGTACACCGCTTTCCATCATGTTCTGTGGTCTTCTCACCGTCGTTGCCATTGGCTGCTGTTCCACCGCGGACCGTGGTTGACTGGTTCGCTGGTTTTCGGAAGGCCACGTTGGTTCCTAGATGGAACACGTATATTAAGTTTGTAAAGATTCCAACCGAGTGTGGAGTGTCTTTGAAAGATAAATTGAAAGAGATTAACATTCTTACGCTAACGTCACAGTACATTTATGAAAATATTATTTATATTAAGACAAATATATTTTTTATGAGAAATGGTGACAGATAACTTTAATACGAGGAATAAAAATAAACTAGCTGTTCTTGACAGTCGTCTTCATAAAGTCTCAAATTCATTTAAGGAACAACGTCATTTACGAGGTTTCAAATTATAGTGAAACAAAAACTTTATATTAAAAGTTTATTATACAGCTTCTGCGTACTTGGATGATAAAAATCCGTGGTAATGACCCGTTTACCCGTCTGGCAGATAGTCCCGATCTAAGATGTTTAAATATTGCGATAATAAAGGTATTCAAATGCATATTTACAGTTTCTTGTTTATTCTTCTCAGGGGAATCTGCTTTAGTAATGAGCAGTGGAGTTTAATCAATATGACGTTTTCAAGGGCAATTTGCTTACCCATGAAATAAAGATTATTTGACTTTTATATATTCCATGAAATATGCGCATCTATGCATGCTCCATTGTCGACCTCATTGTCACTTTCCATCAGGTGAGATGGAGGTCAAATGCAAAGTTATTTAAAAAAAATGCATGAATTATATCTATGATTTTTTTTATTTCTCTAATTTGAAAAGCTGTTTCAATGGAAATTAGATTGTGTATCCGGAAAGCATTGCTTGACGGTTTGAAAATACAGTAATGAGCATATTTCCTAGTAACTGGAGCTGACTTACCACAGAATGGAACCTCCGCTGTCCACTCTCCTCTGAGCGTGCATTCTCTCTGATGGGCACCAAAGAGTTCGTAACCCTGATCGCATTCGTACGTAGCAATGGTACCCGGGACAATATCTTTGTTGCTGGCTATGGATACTCTTGCATTTGGAGGCACAGCTGGATGGCCACAGCGCCTTTCACCTGGGAAAAAAGAAACTTTATCGAAATTGTCTCTAATAAGGTACATTTTTCAATAATGGCACATAGTCACAGAATATTCTACAGCAAAATATTTTTTTTTATAACATCAAGTGACGGGACGAACAAGTCGTGCGCCTGATGGTAAGCTACACGCCTGTCCATAACAGTTGCGCCACTCAGAGCTTTAAATCGCAAATACTGAGGGGCACTACTACTACGCCCGTCAGCCTGAGACATAAGTTGACAAGTCCCATTTGCCTGTAATGTCAACAGCACCCTTACTTATTAGCTCTACTGCTGTAGAAATAAGTCTATTATCAGAAAATGTTATCATAATTATAAGTGTTTGTATTCTTCTTTTTCTTTTAGCTTATTGGTTTTCGCCAATGTAGTTTTCAGCTTAGTAATTTTGTACTTCTGCAGGTTCTGCTATTCGACGACTATTTTGGGTGTAATGTGAGGACGCTTTCGTAATATTTTATGATTTTTTTAAATAATGGAAAAAGGTCGTCAGAAGTAAATGTGACAATGACGTATAAACACAGATCTGCGAAAGTAACGCTTTGAACTCGTAATTCTCTCATGCCTTTAGTTTATATCAACTCTAACTGTGGAATTCATTAACTGGAGGGTTACTATGTTAAAAATGTCACCCAAGAGGCCAAATTATCGACGGAGTTGCTTGTGTAATGAAATAGTAAAAGCAAAGGCGGTACGAATAGTACTATGCGATTGTAAAATTCCCTTCACCACCAGTGTGAACGACCTTTTAACGGGTGATAGTTAACCTTTCCATTTGCCGTGGCAAATGAATATTCCATAAGCCTTCTGTTTCTATGAAATTTCACATAAAGTTGTTTTGACACCTACAAAAATCAAAGATCTCTATACTTCTGAAGTCCAGGAATCTTTTATTTTTTTTCCATCCTCTGAGCCAGAAATAGAGACGAAATGTCATTTAATTTGTTTGACAACTATTCTGCCATATCATTACTGCGACAACTGAGCTCCGATTGGCCAGCCCGAATTCGAAAAAATTGACGGGTGTCAATTTTCAATATCAATTGTTTCACTTGAAATCGACCAGTTAACTTGAGCTTTGCTATAATGGACGAAAATTGCAAAATTACATATTTAATTACCGATGAAATTTGTTTCCGTTTGTTTTGTAATTAGATGTTTTGCTGTTTTTCCCTACACCATCGAATGGAACAGCACGCCATTGTTAGAGATAAATAAATAAATACGGAATATTTTTGGAATATACGGAGACGTACACACAGGTCAGTTGTTAGCGCTGTCTATATTTCAGTGCAAACGATAGTTGATATTTATGAGTGATGTATCACTGATGAATTACCAGGAATGTATGGGCCCTTATTTCGTCTCTATTTCTGGTTATATACTCGATGACTATAAGTAACGCATATTGAATGCTGTGAAGTTCATTGATAAAAACGTATACAACGTCCGGCGCGGTATGCTAGAAGACGTCGGTTCGAATCCGGCTGGACCAAAGGATTTTTTCTGCGTGTTCGATCTTTGTATTAATAATTATAACAAACTAGTAGAGCAATTTCACGAAAATGATTGAATATCAATTCAATAAAAATATATAAAACGAATAGCGACATCTCTCGCCAGGGCTGGTAGCTGTATTATATATTGTACTTTGCTTTCCACATTATTTGTCATATATTTATTTATATACATTCAACAATGGCAATTTACAAAATATACATTAGTAAAATATATCGCATGTAATAAAGGTAATGGGAACTGGCTTAGTGCTTTTGTAAAATGAAAAAAAGAAACAAACAATACCTATTATGCTCTGGAAAAAAGGTACCAGTGCTACTTGTATACATAATTGTAAAAAGTAACATGCAAAGTAATCTCTGTGATCATTTTACTTTGTACGTTGAATATTTGCCGATGTGACGTCGGGTATTGAATAGCTAAATATTTCCTGCGTCAAAGGGGTTTCAGTTTCGCTTTGTGGATAGATTTCACGTGATTCTAGAACCCGAAATAGAAACTCCATTTTCCCTGTATCATTTATCAAACTGAACTAGCCGGACATAGAGGATTTGAAAACGTGATAACCGCATATTAATTTAGTGTGATAGATTGATGCCTGTGCATGCATGTTTGTGTGTATATAGAATTTATAAGCCGCAACGTATATTACAAATTAAGATATAATGAGTTCGCCTTTTGGCGCGTACTAGCATGTCGGAGCGGTAGGGCTCATTGTGAAATTGATTTCTCTCTACAAAAATCCGACTTCGGTTGTCTAATTTCATAAAGCGACTAAGTGTCTAATATCCTAAGTGGCTGGATCAAGACATCTGTGTCTCAGGTATCCAGGCTTCCCAACTCGAACCTAATTGCTATTAAGATTACACAAAATTTAAAATAGATGTTAATGAAAATGTTTTAACCTATATTATTATGGATTCTGGAACCGGGCTTGTGTTTAAGAAGCAGGCATTTCTATATAAATTCTTAGGATTTTCCGATTCTTTCGATAGTCTCGATACTAGCTAGTTATTGTTCAATATTGATACAATCAATAAAGTAGCAAGCAAAGGGTTAAGAAAGTGATAGGTTTCAGGTGTAAAAACAGCCAATATTTTAGCTTTTCTTTTGAAAAAAAAAAAAAAAATTCATAGAGAATTAAATTCGAAATTCAAATAATTTATCAGAACTTGAGAAACGTCTAATATACGATAACAGACAAAAGAAAATTAAGTCGTGTAGTTTTGATCACAAGAAAGCTTCAACTTCAAGAAAACTTTAGCGCGTAATTAAAACTGAAGTTACACTATTGATGTTGGTGCTTAAATAGAAAAGCTAAGGAAAATCTTTTTCTTTAGAACTTTCCACTCTCTTTACTACCTGTATTTTTTAAATATTCTTTTTCTAATTTTTAATCGACGCCGCGCCCCGTGACAGCGTGTTTGGTAAACAGGCAACTTTTCCTTTTGACTAGCTAAAAACAAACTAAATGTATAACCTTTGGCAGTGCAGTTGCCAGATTTTTCGTTTCGTTTTTCTTTCGTGCGGAGGTTTCCAATATTTTAATTAATGTTAAGTTTAAATTCATAAAAACGGCTACAAGTTATTCAACTAGGTGATCAGTCTCCCGCGTTAAAGACACTCACACACTGTTCATTATGTTGCAACTTTGTTTTTAGATTTTAAATTAAGGCTGAATATGGTTGGATGCTTAGAATAATAACGCATAGAATGATAGTTTCATATCAAATGAACTGTCACAAGTGAGGCAATAATCAAATTCATGTAGGCTAGTTTTAGTTGTAGGTTAATTTTCGGTTTTAGTGAATATTTATATAAAAATACAAGTTGAAACGCGTTACTTCCTTGTGGAATGTGATGTTAGTATCTATTTTATGTTTGTCTGACGTATTTTTACACTCATTTACCGCACATTTCGTCATTTTTAGCTAAAATTCTTGATCTGTTCGCGATGCAAGTTGACCTTGAGCACTGAAGGCCCGCCCGCTCGTGTAGGCCCTTTTGGCGCGCTTCAATTTGCCTCACTTAGCGTGTGCGGACTAGGTTTCTATGCGTTATTATTTTAAGGTTGGATGTATGAAAACTTATAGCATATAGGACTGGAGGCGTCATCGATAGGCAACCCCTCTGTGAAGGTACAAGCACAAAATAACTATTGCACAATAAACACTACTTTCAAATCGATGTTTTTGCATATCCATTATCGAATTCACCGCGTCAAGTATTCCACGAAACATGACGTCTTCCGCTATACAAAATTGCAAAAAAAATCTCTGCTGCATCCAGTCTAGCCAAGGGTGAAATCACATTCCATGCATAAGCTTATTTTTTACATTAATTGCTAATTTTCTACTTTATGAATTTTTTTTCACGATGATCACACTGGTTCAATTTATCGATTACCTAAAAAATTTTTGAAAACATTCGAACATTTGACCTAAGCTTGCCTATGAAGTTCCCTATTTGCTAACAGGCAAATATAGACAAAAAATGCAGTAATTCGTGGACGCTGCTTTTTCGTTATAGCGAAGCGACGCGCTTTAGCTCCTATTTATCGACAGATTACATAACGAAGTTTATTCAAATTGATTTCTCCATCGTATTGTATATTAAATAATAATGTAATAAATTATAAATAATGAAAATAAATTGTAATTGTTTAATATAAATCATCATAAATCATGCCGTACTGTAAGAAAAAAATAAAAATAAAGAGTACATATACGAGTACATACATACAATACACATAAATTACAAAAGAAACAAAAATAACCTAATAGCTAACTGTCCTTATCCTATACAAGACAACCACAAGTCAATTTCAATTTTCGAACCACAAGCGACTGAAATATTTAGATTTAGCACAAAGAAACTATAGAGTTGATTTAATGTTAATCTTTTTATTAAATGTTAGTAATAAATAACTAACAAAATATTATTGTATTCGTTTTACTGTTTGGAGTTATCAATCAGAAATCCGAAAATACATTTGCCCGAAGTAATGTTTGCTCGAATGTTTGTAATCTCAAATGTAACTTTTAGGTTATTTCAGGAATATTACAAAACAAACTAACTTAATCTTATCTTTTTAATAAGCAACCAAAATCCCCTGAAAGCATAACGGTTTTCTTATAAATCGGTTTTCGAGACTATCAAACTTTGAGTTTACTTCTAGTTGGAATCCAGAAATTAGAATCATCGATACATTTCTTGCAGCACGTCATAACTACCAACATAGAGACACAGCTTTTTCACATTTACAATATTTGTATGTACTTATATATCGGCACAACTGTTATTACTTGGTGCCATAAAACATAATACCATAAAATTAATAAATTAATATTGACATTAAGACTACTCCATCACTCTTGTGTTTCCTCCGGTCATGCTTGTCATTGGCTTCTACGCTGACCGAGAAAAGCCATAAACTGAAAAAAAAAACTACCTAAATTTTT